TTCCACAGTATGTACACATCAGTGCTTAATAATTTCCCTCTTTATATGGATGTTTAGGGTATGTCCAGTTTTCTTTGTTCCAAGTTTTATTTTTTTATTAGTACATGACTAATTCCTCACGGGGAGCTGGCATATGCACATAATGCATTTTCTTTCTTTTTCCATTTGCGTCTCTTCTTCCTTCCCTCCTACCTTCCTCCATCCTGTCTGGATCCTCTTCCCTTTTGCAAAAGATCTACCTTACTTTTCTGTTGTTAGGAGATTAAATACCAGCACCCAAAGTTAAGGAGGGAAGAGGCTTCATTACAAACAGTTTCAGACGTTTCATTCCATAATTGGCTGCCTCCAAAGCAGCATGACACGTGGCAGAGGGGCAACCATTCACAGTGGGAGAAGACAGAAAAAGCAACCAGAGGGAGGGAGAGAGGACAAGCCTCTTCCTGTCCCTTACACTGTATGCAGGCTCCCTGCTTTAGGGCAGTTTTAGCACTCACACCTTTAATCCCAGCACCGTACTATGAATTAATCACAGACTCTAGACTAGATTCAGGTACCTCAAAAATAAGTAAATAAATGACCCCCATGACTGCATTAGGCTTTAGGGGGAACATCTAGACACAAACCATAGCAAGATCTATCTCCCTCTTTCTTATTATCAATCTTTTATTTTTCTCTTTATTTATATTTTGGGTTTCTCATAGAAATCGTGCAGTATTCCAGCTTTGGTGTCTGATTGACGTATTGTTTTTAACCGTTCTGGTCTCAGGTGTACCCGCTTTCTTACAAATGACTCAAGCTTATCCTTCTCTATTGGTAGAGTAGTACTCCATTGTGCATAAAAACCACATATTAGTGATTTATTTATTAGTGCATGTTCATAGTACATAATGTGTACATTCCTTTTGGGGACTTGGTATATGTACATAATTTATCTCCATTCCAGTTTTTCATCCTCTTCCCCCCCCCTTTACCAATTCTTGATCTTTTCTTGTTTGTATATGCTTGTAGTACATAATATTTATGTTCCTTGTGGGAACCTGGTACATGCACAAAATACATCTTAGATCCTTTACCTATCTACATGTCCCCCCCCATCTCTTGATTCCTTTCCCTCCAAGAACAATCTGTTTCCCTATTTACTATTATTTGTCTTTTATTTTTTATTTATATTTTGCATTTCTCACATAAGAGAAACCATGTGATGCTTAAGCTTGGGCTTCTGGTCTATTTCATTCAGCACGATGGTCTCAAGCTGAATCCATTTTCATACATGTAACTCCAGTTCCACCTTCTTCATGCAGCGAAGTGCTCCCTGGTGATTAAACACCATATTCTCTTTATCCTTTCATCTGTAGACAGACATACAGACTGCTTCCAATATTCAGCTATTATGAATGTGTTGCTATAAACATCAGTTTGCATGGGTCATTGTAATTTGCTCTCTAACTCTTGAGAAGGGGAAAAGCTGGGTCAAATGGAATTTCTACTTTTATTCTTTTGATGGAATCTGCGTATCAGTTCCATATCAGAATCTCCGTATCAGTGACTGGACTAGTTGACATTCTCACCAACAATATAGGAAGGTTTCTTTTTCCCTGCAGCCTTACCAGTATTTGTTCTTGTCCAATTTCTTGATTATAGCCATGGAATCTCCATGTTGTCCAATTTCTTGATTATAGCCATGGAATCTCCATGTTGTTTTGATTTGCATTTCTCTAATGGCCAGAGATGGTGAACAATGTTTTCATGAATTTATTGACTGTTTTGACTTCTCTTCTGAGACGTTTCTGTTCCTATTAGTTGCCCATTAGTTTTTTGGTTGGGTCTTTTATTGAGGAGGGTCTCTCCAGCTTTCTTGTTACCTGTATCATTCCATGAACATCCTTGCTCAGGCCTCTTTGTGAACATGGACAAGTATTTCTGTAGAACAGATACCAGAAAAGGGATTGTTGGTGTGAAGACTGTGTTAGACATGAAACTTTAGTTGCTCTGAGAAACGCTGTGCCAACACGCTCCAGGCAGCAGGAGCTGACAGTGCTCATTTTCTCACCCTTTGTCACTGTGGCATATTCTTTGTTTCTGAGGATGTTGATTCAGAAACACCTTTTCATCTTCCAGAAATCTCAGCCAAAATTACATCACTGAACTACATAAGAATTCATTTGAAGGCCTGATGTCCCTCCGATATTTGTAAGTTAAACATATTTAATTGTCTCTATTTTTTTTATTTTAAAGAGGGTAAAATAGAATAAAACCAGTCAAAACAAACCAGTGTAAAAGATACAGGACTTCAAAACATTACAAAATCAACAATAGTTACCATAATGCCTTTGTTGACTTCACAACAGCTTGTGGATAACTTCAGACATATAGTAAAAATTAAACAGGACAGAACAGAATAGAAACAATCAAAACAAAACCATGAAGGCAAGAAAGGACTTCAAAACAAGCCTATAGTAAATCCACAATGGCTACCCTAATATGTCCTGCTGTCTTTGAAATAGCTGCCAGTTAGTCATATTAGTTGAGTTTGAAGTTATCTATAAAATGAGGAGAGAGTTCAAAGCAGACCTTCTTCAAAATCCCTTCCAGTGATAAAATTGTGTGATTATGTGAGTCTGTGTAGGTTTCAGTCTGTGTCTATCATCAATGAGAAAAATCCCACTTACAGAGGAAAAGTGGTAATAAGACTGCATTTACTCATGCTAACACGGGCCTTGTTTTATTAGTGTTTGGGTACCATTGGCTTGTACTTATATTTACCCCCTGATCCATGGATCAAATTAATTCATACTGCATTTTATTCAGCTCATAAGGTAATAGTAGTTTTCATATTTTTAAGTGCTGTAAAAGGAAAAGGGAAAAGAATCTATAGTTGTATATTTTATTTATGAAGATCATAAAGGCGATCCTCTTAGAGGAAATATAAACAGGGCTGGGGTCCAGAATATCAAACTTGAATATAATGATTTAGACAAAAATATGTTTTCAGTTTGTTAAATTCTAAAGTCTAGCATTTATTCAGACTTATTAGATATCTAATAGCTACTCAAGGCAACATTTTCCTTTTACTTGTTCTAGAGATGTATCCTGCAATAAAATACAATCTATTGAAAGACGCACATTTGAACCATTAATTTTTTTGAAGTTCATGTAAGTTACAAATACAACCTCATAATATATGCAATTTTATAAACCTTGTTGTTACTCAGTTTGAGATTATTTTAATCTCTACCAAAGACTAGTATAAGGATTATCTCACAGGTCAGACAGAGTCATTACAGAGCAGTGACCTTCAATTGGTGTGAATTTGCACCCAGGCGATATTTGGAAACTGTGGCTGTTACCTCTAATTCTGATAACCATCGTATAGTGTCCAATAAGACACCACAACAAAGAATCGTCCAGCTCAAAAGGTCACTAGTGCTGCAGCTGCGAAATTCTGTTCTAGAGTAATGGAGATCACTTAAGACAAGTACTTATTAAGCATTCACTCTTTCGTATTTAGTGCATTTCAAGTGTAAATATAAAAGTTTAAATTAGAAGCCAGCATCTTCCCGTGAGATTTTTTTAGTAGGTTGAAAAAATACTGATATTTTGTTTCACCCTGTACTGTGTAAGTTGAAATCATCCCCAAGTGATTAATCTCCAGAATTAATATCTTTCTTCTTTGGTTTATGCATTTTTTGTAGAAATCTTCATTGCAATTTACTAATAGAACTGGATTTTGGAACATTTCAAACATGGCATGGAATGCAGTTTTTACACCATGTGTAAGTAAAATGAATGGCAAACACATGTAAAAATAATCAAAACAAAAGCTAAAAACCAAATCAATGTGTTATTGGTTAGCTGGGTCTGAGTCCTGCACGAACCCTGAGAAGTATGTCTTAAGATTCACTGACTCCTGTCAGGTGAGATCGAGTGTGTTCAGGGAGCTAGGGCCAAAGACTCTGTTCCTTATTTTCAAATGAGGAAACGAGGGAACAAAGAGGCTAAGAGATAACTTTTCTTGGTGACAGGTTCTTACTATGTAGTCCAGGCTGGCCATGTACTCACTGAGAGCCCATGCTGGCCTCAAACTCATTTGTCCTGCTTCCACCCCTTGAGCACTGGGATTATAAGCATGTGCGACCATGTGCGGGTTGACTTGTGCAACTTCTGGGCAGCCTGCTCTGTATTTCCGGGTACTGATATTTGGCATGAGCAGTACGAGGTGTTGCAGGTACTGCCCAAATAACACTCAAATTAGCACTGCAGAGAGCTCAGAGGTATGGTTCTGACAAGTGAATGGTTCTTGAAATTCCACTTTTTTTTTTTTTTTTTTGTCTTTTTCCTTTTTATCGGTACCAGGGATGGAACTCACGACTGCCTGCTTACAAGGCAGGCGCTTATGTTGCTGAGCTAAATCCCCAGCCCCTGAAATTCCACTTTTGAGTTTAACTCTGATTCCTTCTCGCATGCAGAGTTCTGTTACAATGTATGCAATACAGAGCTTCAAAGAACTATGTTTAATGCTCTGTTCTCCAAAGAACAAAAGGTACAGGTGCTGAGTCCCAGAACCTCCTCAGTGGAAAAGCAGAAAGAATTCCTCAGAACCTGCTGCCAATCACTTCCCTCCCCAACCACCCAGTATGTTATGTTTTAGAAAGTATGGGCCTCTGATATGTTAAGTTATAAGTGCAAAAAAATGTATAAAGAAAACACAGCAAACCTAAGCAGTGAGGGTTTTATTCACTTTCAGCTGAAAACTTCTGTGATGTTTTCTGTCCTGAAGGGGATTTTAGACTCAAGTTGAAAATTCCCCTCTGCTGGGAAAGACCTGTCTTGTGGGTCGGAACTCCAGGTTCATACACTTTATTTTGAGTTCCCTGGAGAGAGGTTTAGGATGCACCTGGAGCTGGTTAACTCCACCTGAATTCTCAACTGTAGTGATCGCCCCTTGTCAATCTGCTGATTCTCAACTTGGGAGAATAAGGACGGTTTGCTTTTGAAGCAAAGTTGGGGTGGAGGGTGAGTTAGAAAAGACATAATGGAGAAGACAGCAACTTGTTCCATCTGCTTTGAAGGTTTTCCTAACAGAAAGGCAGTTGCTTTCTGGAGATGAGAAAGTGAGAGCCAACTGGTATTGGACATTAACATTCATATCATTTGATCTGGAGGGAGCTGCGCCTCTCAAGCTATTTTACAGTTACTTTGATAGATTTGCACAATTTGTACTTGTAGCATGTACCTGTAGTTCCAGCTATTTAGAAGGCCGAGGCAGGAGCATCATTTGCTTTCAGGAGTTGGGAGCCAACCTGGGACATACTGAAGGGTTAGAAGTGCTGGGTCATATATAACTCGGTTTACCTTTTTGAGGCACCCATGAACTGCTTGCAAGTGACTGCGAGATTTTACATTTTCACCTGCAATAATGTGGCTTCTAATTTCTCCATCTTGGCCAGCACTTGTTACTACCTGTCTTTTTATTATGGCCATCTTAGTGAGTGTAAACACTCATTGTGGCTTTCACTTACATTGGAGACTGATGAGACATTACACATCTTTGCATGAGAATACTGGCCGTGTACCTTTTTTGAATAATACTTTCAAATACTCTCCCCATTTTATCCTTATGTATCTTTTTACTGAGTTGTAAAGTTTCTTTATACATTCTGGATACTCTGTGTACTAGGCCTTTATCAGATGTATGATTTATAAACATTTTCTCCTGTTCTACTGGTAGCTGACTTTTTATCATTTTACTGGTGTCCTTTGACACACAAACATTTTGTAGTTTGTCTTTGTTTTGTGTAAAACTGGGGGTCGATCCTTGGGCCTCTGCATTGAGCTACATCCCCAGCCCTTTCTCTATTAGGATCTCCATCAGTTGCTAAGCTGCTCAGGCTGGGATCTAATGTTCAATCTTCCTATTTCCCGGAGTACTAAGGTTACAGCCAGGAACCACTACACCGAGCTATTTGTAAATTTTTTTGGAGATAGGCATGCATCACCAAGCCCAACTGAAGCACAAAATTTTTTCATAAAACCGTTTTTTCCCTGTAGTTAAACTCTTTGTATCATACATAAGAAATTGTGGCCTAATACAGTTACCGACATTTGCTCTTATATTTTTTTCTAAGAGTTTTATAGTTTAAGTCCTTACATTAGGTTTCTGCTATATTTTGTATCAGTTTTTATATATGGTTTAGGGATTTGGTTACATTGTTTTTCTCTATTGTTTTGGATTTTTTATTTCACTTTTTTCTGTTTTATTCTTTATTATTTTCTTCTGTCTTGGGCTTAAGTTACTGTTCTTTTCCTACTTTATTCAGGAGAATTTTACATTATTGACAAGAATTTTTAATATTTGCATCTGGGTGTGTATCTTTCCCTCTGCACAATGCTCTAACCAGGTCCTAAGTGTTGGTGGTATATGACTTCATTTGCATTGATGTTGAAGTATTTCCTGATTTCCCTTGTGACTTCTTTTTGACTCCTTAGTTGCCTATATGTGTGTCATTTCTATATTTATGAATTTGCCAGACTTCTTCCTGTTGTAGCTATGATCTCACCCTGTGTTTCTCTGGATCAGTTGATTGCTTACGGACGTGGAGAGGGCCTCAGCTCTTTTTGTCTCCCAGCCCACAGGGCTGCCTCAGGTCATAAGAAGGGGCTGACTTCTTTCTCCTCCCAGTGGCCCATATGGCTGCCACTGGCTCACAAGAAGCAGCTGGCAACTCAGGATAAGTTAGATAACCTCTCTGTGCCTCAGTTTCCTCACTTGTAAAGTGGAGGTAATTTTAATACCTACCACTTAGGATTACTATTAGGCTTCAGTATAAAGTGTTGAACATAACTACTGTTACTAATAATTACTATTCTTAAAGTATTCTGTAGAAGTATAATAACTAATGTTTCCTGAGTAGATTTAACCTCAACATAGATTTTTCTTTCCTCATATTTCTTTTGTTGTTGTTGTTTGCTTACTGTAAAGAATTGAAAACAAATTATATTCCAGCATTTTGAAGTAAAAATTTGCATCATGATGAATATAGCCAGACACAGTGGTAATTGCCTGTAACCCTAGCACCTGCCAGGTTAAGGCAGAAGTATTACATGTCTGAGCCCGGCCTGGGAAAATCATTAATTTAGAGAGAATTTTTCTGAAAAGGAATGTAAGAATGGCTAGGGACACAGCTTAGTGCAAAGGCTCTGGGTTCAATACCTGTGTTTGCAGTCTCCGCCACACAGGAGCCTGAGGTTGCAACAGTGCTTGATCCTAGGAGTTTGATGCTAGTCTAGGCAAGATTATATCTCTTAAAAGGGATGTGTGCACGCGAGCATGCATGTGTGAATGTATTCGTTTCATTGATGTCAAAAGAGAATTTTATATATTCAATGAACATTTATTAAAAACCTAGTAAATTTTAGGCACTATACCAGGCATTAACATGATACAGGAAAACAAATGGGAGTAATAGAGCAAATATGGCTTTAATTACCTCCCCCTTGTTACCGTTTTTATCCAAATGTCCCCCAAAAGCCTCCCTCAGTCATAGGTGGAGCTTTGGGAGGTGATTGGATGATGGGGGTGTTATAGCTGATGTGGGGCTCAAAAGAAGTGGGTCACAGGGGTGAGGTGTGGATGGGTTATCTTCCTCCTGCCTCTTCCCTTCACTCTGTGCTTCATGATTGCTGGGCTGTAAGTGTCTCTCCTCCACTCAGGCCCTTCCACCAGGCTTTCCTGCCTTGGAGCTGGCGATGCCCTGGAACGTGAGCCAAAATAAAGGCCTTTTGGGGGCTGGGGATTTAGTTCAGTGGCATAAGCACCTGCCTTGCAAGCAGGCAGTCGTGAGTTCAATCCCTGGTACCGATAAAAAAAAATGAAAAAGACAAAAAAAAAATAATAAAGTCTTTTTCCTTCCATGTGCGGCTGTCAGATATGGTCTCCTTCATGAAGAAAAGTTACTAAGACCCACCTCTTACATGTTTAAAACTTTTTTCTTTGACTCTAAACCAAGGAATTGCACCCCTCCCACATAACTGCCTTTTTTGTCATTGTTGAGACAGGGTTTCACTATGTAGTTTCAGCTGATCTTGAATTCACTGTGTAGCCCAGGCTGGCCTCAATGTTCATGTCTCAGCCTCCTGGGTGCTGGGATTACAGGTGTGTACCACCATGCCTAGCACATGTTTTTTTCTCTTAGTGAATTAGACCATGATTTTATTTAAATTTCTAAAGATGAAAGGCAAGCCGCTTGAGTTATGAAGGATTTTAACTATAGAATTTCCTGTAGGGTGAAGGTTTCTTATCAGAGCAGTCAATTTTAGGGTTTTTGTTCTTTCACATATTTTTCCTTTTTTATCCATGCTATTCAACATTTTTGCCTCCCTCTTTCTCATTTCCACCTTATCTTTTAGAGACCTATTTGACCCCCAAAGAAAGAACGCTTTCTGAATTCTAAGGGTTATTACACGTGTAGTCACAGAAAATGCTTTTTTAACATGTAAGTTCTATACAAAAAAAAAAAACCTTTTCATGTAACCTCAGGCATAGTGAAATTTTAATTCCATTGTGCCTTTCAGAATTCTCAATCATAATCCTCTGTCAGCCATTGAGGATTCATCTCTTTTTCAATTACCAGCATTAAAATATTTGTAAGTATTCTAATCCAGTAACTGTGTAAATCTAATATAACTTCTGTTCTTCTTGCTTCCTTTCATCAGTGGTTAAGTATTGTATCTTGATTCTGAAAGTCATAATTTTAAGTTTAATTTGAATTTTAACGCAGCTATTGAAAAAAGTTATTGGAAAGAAAATAATTAAGAAATATAATGGGTAAAGGAGCTGGCAGGGGTGGAGAGCACTGCTGAGGAACACAGTAGAAATGGAACGTATAAACGGAGGCAGACCCATCATTTACCTCAGAAAGCATGGTGGCATCGTTACTAAAAATAAAAAACACACATAGAGGTGACTACAATATAAAATTGAGAAGTAAGATGATGATTTCAAAAAGGTATAGGCTTTACTATGGAATTTTAGTCATTAATTTGATGGTGCAAATATTAAAGTTGAACTTTTTCATGAAAAACTCTGGGATTATATTTTGTGATAAAATCATGTGCTGGCTTGTTAACGGGGAAAATTGAATTAACCACACTTTCTTGAAATACCTGTGTAAGTACAGAGTATTTGTGTTGGGATTCCTCATGACTGACTGAGCTTTCTTTTTCAGAGACTTGGGACAAACACACGTCCCACTTACAGCGCTTGAGAATATAATCACAATGGCTCTAGGACTGAAAACACTGTGAGTTAGTTTTGTTTTCCTTAAATTTATTTGCCTAAGGTATTTTGGTTAGTTTTTTAAGGAAATTATTTTGGTTTATTGGAATAGCTGTGTATTCCATTAGTGATTCCATTGCGTACAGGAGGAGGGCGAGTGCACAATACATCTCAATTTCTTCTCCACCTCTTTCTCTTCCCTCCCTGCCCCTTTCACCCTTTCATCTCTTGGTCCCCCTTATTTTTTTGTTACGCATTTGTACATAATGCTCGCACTTTTGTACGGACTTGGTGCGTGTGTGGAACACATCCCAATTTCTTTGCATCATCCCTTACCCCCCATTTCTTGACCGCCTTCCCCTCTGAGAACAATCTGTCTCCATACTTCCTGTTATCACTTATTTTGCTTTCTTTTAACTCAGTTTCACATATGAGGAAAGCAATGTGATATTAAGCTTGTATGTCTGATTTCTTTTTTAAAAACTAAATTTTATAACAAAATAATAGAATATTAAAAGTTAATATATTGTATATTGTTTTCTTCAAAGTAGTTATTCAGAGTACTAGATATAGGCATAACGAATTCTCCAAAATGATATTAGCATGGCAGTTTCTTTTCAGTGAACTATGAGAAACTAATAGTATAACTATCTCATATTTTCTTTTCCCTACCTTCCTTTCCCTCTGCCCCCATCGTGGCTCCTCTTTCTTTTCAAATCACTTCTTCTCATTTTACAACATGTATTGCACATTGTGGTCCTTATTTACTCTTTGTTTCTCACACTAGAAATACAATGTGATGTTTACACCAATGTGATGTTGATCTGATTTACTTCATTTACATGCAGGGTCTCAAACTGCATACATTTACCAATAAAAGTCTCCAGTTTATCTTTCCTTATGACTGAATAGTGTTCAATTGTATAAAAACGGCACATCTTTTTAACTCATTTCTTGGCTGATAAGCATTTGCATTGTTTCCAAGATTTTGCTATTATAAATGTGTTCCTGTATACATGGCTACACATATATCACTGTGGTATGATGTTTTCAGTTCTTCTGGGATGTTACCCAGAAGGGGATTTGTTGGGTTGAATGGGAGCTCCAATTCAAGAGGGGTTTTTTGTTTGTTTGTTTTTAGGAATCTCCACACTGATTTCCACAGTGGTTGCTCCACCAAAGTGGAGAAGGGTTCCTTTTCCTCCAGAGCCCCTCCAGCATTTGTTATTGCTTGATTTCTTGATACTAGCCATTCTTTCAGGGGTGAGGTGTAATCTCAGTGTTGTTTCAATTTGCACCTCTCAAATAACCAGTGATGCTGCTGAACATTTCTTTCTTTCTTTTTTCTTTTTATACTGGTGATAGAACTCACTACCTCACTCTTGCCAGACAGGTTCTTACACTGCTGAGCTAAATCCCTGGCTGAACATTTTTTCATGTTTATTTGCTGTTCATATTTCTTCATTTGAGAAGTGTATGTTCATCTCAAATGCCCATTTTTGGATTGGGTCTTTAAATCTGGGAGGATTTTTTTTATTTAGTTCTTTATAGGTTTTCAACAGTAATTTTTTATCTGAGGAACAGCTGACAAACATTTTTTTCCCACGTTACAGGTTATCTCTTCACTCTGTTAGTGGTTTTCCTTCGTGTGTATAAGCTTTTCGATAAGATGAGATCCCAGTTATTGATTCTTTGTGATAGTTCCTGTGCGATTTGGGTTTTGTTCATGAAGTCTCTGCCTACACAAATGTCTTCAAGGGTTTTACTACTTCTGTTTCCAGAAGATTTAATGTTTGTTTTAATATTAAGATCTTGGATCCATTCTGATTTTTGCTTAGTACATGGTAAAAGATTTGGGTCCAATTTTAATATTTAAGAGGTGTAGAGCTAGTTTTTCTAGAACAATTTATTAAAGAAGCTTTCTTTCAGTGAATGTCTTTGGCACCTTTGTGAAAGATAAGATGGCTTAGTGTGTCTGGAGTTGTTTCTGCATCTTCTAATCCATTCCACTGATCCTCAGGTTTATTTTTTGCCTGTACCATGCTGGTGTTATCACAGTAGCTTCATCATATAAAGTCAGGAACTGTGATGCCTCTGGCCTTAGCTGTGTTGCCGAGGATTGCCTTGCTACTCTAGTCTCTTCTGGTTCTAGATGAATTTTAGGATTTCTTTAATTCTGTGAGATATACTACTGGAATTTTGATTGGGATTGCATTGAATCTGCATAATTGTTTTGGAAGTATGGCCATTTTCATTATATCAGTTCTTCCAACCCAGAACACTGGGATAGCTCTCCATTTTGAACATTCTTTTCATTCTGCTTTTCCAGAGTACTGTATTTTTCAATATTGAGGTCTTTGATATCCTTTTAGACTCTTTCGAAGTCAACATTCTTCTTGTACACTCCCAACCCTGAGTGAGAGATGCTTCTGAATGAAAGGACACATTCTGTCACTCAGCACTAATCTCTAGTACCATCACGTCAGGCCCACCACACGCACTGCTGAGCTTACCCTTCTGTGGGGACCCCTCTCTCCCTCCTATTTACTCACAATATTCAAAAGCTGCAGTGGCTGTTGGCTTCCTACCCAGCCGCACAGGCTGCCTCCAGCACTCCTTCAAGCACCACGCTGTGGAGCCTTGTGCCACCTCTTTACCATTCAAAGAGCCGCTTTCCATTAACTCAGATCTCTGTGTCCTGTCTGCAGGATCTTACCGAGCCATATGGTCTGCTGCCTCTGCCATTTTAAAAATGACATCGAGGTTGTCTGCAAGACAATTAAGCTGCATTGTGACAGCACATGTGTGGTTAATGCCACTCAGTGTGGTGAGTCTATGCCTGATGATATTTTCATTTATATTTTGCTTTTTAATTTTAAATGGTGATGATAAGATTGTAAACTAATGATATAATTATTTTACACATATTCATTCATCAGAGTTAAGCCTGATAAAGTTTTGAAGTGGTCCCCTGCAGACAGGTTCTCAGTTAGTACTGCATGTTGCAATAACAAAACTGTTCCATATTCGAAGGACTCAGAGGAAGGGCTGGAAGGGGAGGGCACACCATGCTTGGCTGCGCACCATGCACAGTGCTTGCTGTCCGGTGCTTTGCCTTCCAGTAAAAACTTAATTCATAAAGTGAAATGCAGTTTGTAAGCTGATTTATGTACTCAGGGGCTCAAGTTTCCTCAACCTTGGGGCAGGTGGAGATCACTTTTGTCTTGTTTTTGCAATTGTGTAAAAGATTATTTTGTTTAAGGCTCAGGAGTTTCTAATTGCATAACCAGAAACTGCTTCCTGTCTCCACTAAGGGAATGCAAGGTTCTTCCATGCCCAGACTGTCCAACACTGTGCTCTTCCTGGGTCTCACATGACTCAGGTGCATTTAAGGATTTTTCTGTATGTCGGGTTTATTAGCTCTTGCTTCATGCTTGCAACATGTGACTGCTTTCACATCCAGAGGGTTTGAATACAGATGTCTACCAGTGATCTGGGACAAATCATGAATAATGGCACTTTGCTCTCTCTGAAAAGGCAATGTTGCTTGGCTTTTAAAAATAATATTTTACTTACAATATTACTTCTTCATTCCCTAGAAATACAAGCAAAGGAATAATTTCTTAACTCTGTTTATAGACAAGGAAAGCAAGATTAGAGATGTCATGTGCTAGAGCCCCATGCCAGCCTTCCGTCCCCAATTCTGGGTCCTCCAGAAGCCCAATGTTCCTCTGTGGTCATGATCTTAACTCCTCCTCTGGCCAGTCACCTCACCACCACCACAGTCACTTAATTCTTCTGGAAGAGAAAACAGGTTACAAGTCCAAGACTTTCATATCATCAGTAGCTTCAGATGCTTAGAAATATTAGAACAGAAGTGAAAGTAGGGCAAGCATCTGATAGAAACAGCTTTTACTCCCTTGTACGTTAAGACCTTAAATCATGTTTGTCCAGAAATTGCTGTTATTCTGAAAATGTATTGTGCATTACTCCACACAGGCATACAACCAAGCAAATTAAAAGTCTCTGAACCTACACCCCAGGTCCCTGTCCCAATTTAAGGAAAGAACCAGTGCAGGACAGTATTTGGTTCTGGTAGAATCTTTCGTTATGGAGCTAGGACATATGAGAGCAGGGCCAAGTGAAGATATGTGGTGAACAGGTGGAGGGAACATACCCAGAGGAGGACCTGGAAGCAGAAGGAGTGGGGCCTCTGCCTTGGCACTTTGGCTCACTGTCACAGGAGGACTGTCCTTCCTCGTGGTCATCTGTGACAGTAGCAAGAACATGACACACCGAACAGGTAGAGCGAGGAATTCTTGCGCTGCCTCTGCACCTGCAGTGTGATGTTACGGTGTACAGAATCTGAGCGGGCATAGAAGGGCTGCAGAGAGGGTTGCTGAAATGGCTACTATATTCTGTATTGTTATCTTCAAAGTAGATACTAAGATTACAAGATATAGGTATGAAAAATGATCAAACAATGAAAGTGCAAACTGTTTTTTTGAGGAACAGAGATTAGTAGTATAACTATGTAATATATATATTTTCCCTTCTTTATTCTCCTTTCCCCATATCAGTTGTCTTTTCCTTTTGAGCAGTTTCATCCTCTTTCACTTTCACAGTATCTAGCATACATTTTGGGTCTTATTAAGTCTTTCAGCTTTTTACACTGAGGAGAAAATGCAGAGTTTATACACATGTGAGACTGATTTATTTCACTTATGATTATAGCCTCTAATTGCATTCATTTACCTATAAAAAGCTCATTTGTCTTTCTTCATAGCTGGATAGTGTTCCATTGTAAAAAAAAATACCCCATATGTTTTATCCATTCAGTGGTTGATGGCCATGCATTTGGGTTGTTTCCAAAATTTAGCTATTACAAATTGAGCTGCTATAAACATGGGCACATGTGGTATGATGTCTTCAGTCCTTCTGGGAAAATACTCAGGAGAATAGCTGGATCGAGTGGGACCTCCAAACCTAGGTTTTTGAGGAATTTCCACACTGACTTCAGCAGCAGCTGAACCAATCCTGCACTCCTACAAGCAGTGAAGAAGTGTTCCTTTTTCCCCACAACCCTTCCACAGCATTTGTCATTGGTTGACCTCTGGATATTCAGAGCCATTCTTTCTGGAGGGAGATGGAATCTCAGTGTTATTTTAATTTGCATTTCTTGAATGACCAGTGATGTTGGACATTTCTGTATATATTTATTTACCATTTGCTCTTCTTCATCTGAAAAGTGTGTGTTCATCTTAGATGGCCATTTTTTGGATTGGGTCTTTAAATTTGTTGGGGTCTGATTTTCTTCAATTCTTTGTAAGTTCTAGATAGAAATCTTTTGTCTGAGTTGGTTAAAACTACTCCAGTTTCTCAATAGATCTCATAAATCTTTCATTTTTTAACTTTCTGTTATATGTTTCATAGTTTTAAGTTTGGGTTTCTTTTTTGTCCCTTCCAAATGGCACTGAAATACTTACTGACTGCTAACTTTGAGTGGCATGATTAGCTGTGGGCTGACAAAAAGCTGGCTATTCTGTCTCCCTTGATTGACAGCAGTCTCTTTTTTCTGACAGTGGGAAAAGCCCCCATAAGGAATGTCCATGAAGCCTTCATTAAGGTGTTACAAGCCCGGAAGAAGAGCACCAGCACTGAGCTGACTATCAAGACAGATATGGCATCTGCAGAAATAAGTGGTTTGGAATTATTAGGCCTTGTGAAAGAGCAGCTAGACATTAATGATGAAAGTGATCTTTCTACAACACCAGGTTTCACACTGCCATACTTTCTAGAGGGAAATCTAGAAGGCATAGAAAAAACAATATTACCATTCATTCAGCTCCTTTTGTCAAATATACAAAATGGAAATAATTCTTTGGCTTATTTGGAAAACAATATGAGAAACTCCTCTTCTCAACCTGCATTTGACAATTCGACGCTCAATGATAAACTACAGAGGATATATCTGTTGCAAACTTTGTTAAATGTAAAAATTCAGGAAATATTAGATAAGGTGAAAAAGAAAGAAAAAAGTGATATGGTTATACCATCTAGACTTTTAGATCCCCAACTGAGACACCAAATCTTTGCAAAGAAACTGGAAAGTGCTCAAACACAGGAAAACAACCTGGCAGAGGTGGAGGGTGAAAGGAAAATGTTTCCAAGCTTGAAGACCCCTCTCAAGGAGCTGAAGCATCCACAACAAAGTCTTTTCAAGGAAGAAAGGAAACAGAAAGCTGCATTGAACTGGGGTAGGCAGCCATTCTTGGAAGATGTCACCAAAGAGAGAGGCTTAAAGAGATTCATCCCATGGGAGATGGCTCAGTATCAGAGGATGCCAAAGCCCAGGAAGTTGGTGGGAAACTCTTTCCACATAGAGCCCTCCTTCACAGACGAACAGAAAGTAACAGCTTCTTCTTTCCTAAAACATCACTCCATGGACCGATCTCCTTCTTCCATCCCTGCCAAAGCCCTGCCCAAGGTGAGAAAGAGAGCAAATGATTTCAACTACATTTTGGACTTACAAAATGCAGATGCTAGAGTTAAAACCACAGAGGGTACAAAACCAGTCTTACATCCTGGAAACTCTCACCACTTTCACAAAACTCATTCTCTCATGGCCCAGGGAACACCCGAGGTCAAGCTGAGTGACAAGTTGAGAAAGGAAAACACACGCAGTAGACTACCGCTTGTAAAGAGGCCTCAATTCTCAGCAGTGAGGACTCTCATCAGTTTCCCATCAGGACGGTTCTTCTCATCTTCAGGAGAGCCCAGTTTTCAGGAGACTCTTGTTTCAGAATTATATGCTCCTTCAGAACTTTCTGTAGAAAGCACCCCTGTAGAAAACCATACTGCAGCAGATACTTTCAAAGGAGCAGATTTTGCGTTAAGCATTAGTGTGCCAGAAGAAACTATCTCCAAAGACACAACTCACAAGAATCATTCTGCTGCATACTCTGCCGTGACTGCATTCAACCTAATACCAGCTGTGAACCACACAACAAAGGCACATTGGGAACACCCCAACATGGGCACTGACTCACCACTCAAAGACTTCACCTCCCTGTCGCTGTCATCCTCACGTGATCAGTTTGAGATTTACATAAATCAGCAACTCTGGCCCCTCATCCCCAACAATGACATCAGAAGGCTGGTTTCTCTTGTTCTCAGGAGGTTATTGGACTGCTCTGAGACCCAAGTGCAGTTGCCCTGTGCCAAGCTCATCTCCAAGACAGGCCTCCTGTTGAAGCTGTTCAGTGAGCAGCAAAAAGCCAAGGTGTCCAAGGCCCAGTGGGATGTGGAGCACTGGACAAATGAGAATTACATCAATGAGAGCACAGAAGACCAGAATGAAGAGAAGGAGCGGCAGTCAACGGAGGTGAGGACAGCTGCCCAACATGAGGGTCTGCTGTGAAGCACAAAAGGGCCCCCATGTCTGTACTTTGTCCTGGCCACATAACTGTGGTCAGGATGGTGATCTCCACCCTGCTCTTTGAGAGAAGGAACATGACCTGGCATACAAAATAAACTAGAAAGGAACATGCATAATACTATTTGTAACATGGTCCACCGCATATGTTTTTATCGTCTTGCAAACTACTCCTCTGTAAGAATTTGATTTGAATAGTCAGCTTTCATCTGTCCCATCTTTGTTACTTAACAAAAATTTCTCTCTTTCCTTCCTCTTTTTCCTCCCTCCCTGTCTCATCTATCTGTCTCTCAGCTCACAGTAGAAGTTCCAGGATTCGGCTATAAGAACAAACTGATCTTGACAGTATCTGTGACGGGAGTAGGGATCATTGTGTTGATAATTTTCTGTCTCATTGAGGTAAGCATCACAATTACTTCAGGCTTCCTGGAAGGACTCTTTACTATATTGAGCAAACTCTCTTTTCCTGTATTAATACTGAACTACCTGACTTTATTCCAGCTGTTATATAGTTTGAGTTCTAAATGTGGTAATATTACTGGGTTTTGAGGTACTGGGAACTCCATTTAGAGATTTTTTTCTAGGTTCCTTCTGTCCTGTGAAAGAATTGGTCAAGACAGGAACAAATGTCATGACCTTTAAATTTATTAAAGGTAGGAACAGAAACATGCTCTGCAGAGTGCAGGTTAGTTAAAAGTAGGAAAAGAAGTACATTCCACAAGGTGAGAACAGACTGCACTGAAAGAGACACAGTGGTCATGAGGAAAATGGCTGCTCTCCAACCTTGACTGTCTTATCAAAAAAATGCTTGATTTCTCTGGGGGCTGGGGATTTAGCTCAGCGGCATAAGCGCCTGCCTTGCAAGCAGGCAGTCGTGAGTTCGACCCCTGGTACTGATAAAAAGGAAAAATACAAAAAAAAAAAAAAAGAGCTTGATTTCTCAAGAGAAGAAATGAAGATAGCACTCTCTGATTGGTTCCAAGTGCAGGGCTTTGAAAAATGATCTGTACTTGTGTCCCAGAACTCTATGGTTGACAGGAAATACCCACTTCCTTCCCCAGTCAGCTTGCTGTGCCTTAGTCCTCTCCTTAATTTTTTAAAAAAGAGGATAAAACAATAAAACCAATTAAAACAAACTAGTGTGAGAGATACAGGACTTTAAAACAATACAAAATCAACAATAGTTACCATAATGCCTTTTGATATCTTCAAAATAGCTGCAGATAACTTCAAACATAATAAAAATCAAACAGAATAGAACAGAATAGAAACAATAAAAACAAAACAATGAATGCAGTAAAGGACTTCAAAACAAGCCAATAGTAAATCCAAAATGGCTACCATAACGTATCTTGCTATCCTTGATATAGCTGCTCCTGCCATCAGATCTAACATAAACAAAAGAGGATAAAACCCAACACAACAAAACAATGGGAATGACATAGGACTTCCAAAAAAAGACTACAGGGAGTCAACAATGGCTGCAACCCTCAGAAGGAGGGTTGGGGATGCCACACAGTGTACTGCTATCCTGTGAACCTGTGATCAGACCACCGGCCACTGGCCCTAGACCTGCAATGTTAGTGAAATGGACCAAAGCACCACAGGCATCCAACTGCATTTCACTTCCACTGTTATCATCACAGCCTGTGTTTCTCTGGGTAACCTGCTGCTTACACGGTAGAAGAAGTACTTCTTGATTGCCAGCCTGCACACCAGAATTGACTAGGGTCCATCTGTTGCAGCCCAGTCGCAGACTGGGCTTGCTCGCTGGTATGGCCTTGTTCTCTCTCCCCTTAGTCCATGAATGGTACTGACTGATGGAGAAAGGCTTGGCTCTGGCCATTCCTAGTCTGGTGGCAGTTCACATATGGCACTGTTTCCCAGACTGGGCTTACTCCCTGGTGTGGCCTTGTTCTCTTCCTCGAGTGCACGAATGGGGAGAAGCTTGGGTTTGACTATTTCCAGTCTGGTGGCAGCCCACACATGGCTCTGGTTCCTAGATTGGACCTGTTTGCTCAATTCCTACAATTTTTATGGATGCTTTGGAATTTGATTTTATACAATTTTGGAAAAAGATGAATGTTTGTGAGGCAAGGATGGCAATGGTTGTGTTTGTCACCTGACGCAGTTTGCAAACAAAAAGAAATTTTGCCAAATGCTTCTTTGTAGAAACTAAATTATTAGGGCCCCAAAGCATTTGTGAGCTAAGGTCCTGCTGTATTATTCATCTGCACAGCTCATAGCCTCTTTTTTTATCTGGAGTACAGCTAAGTGGCCAAGTTGAGCTGGATGTCTTACCATGACAGGTCAAAGTTTGGGCTGCACTCGGGATTGGGATAATCCTGGTTCAGTCTCCTCCAGCCCTAGGGTCAAAGGCACATGCCACTATGCTTGGCTTTGTTCTTCACGTTAAAACAATGCTGTTTAGATTTCTATTAGATTTTTTTTATCAAATTAAGAATGTTTTCTTCTTTTAAGAATTTTTATTAGGAATTACTAGTTGAATTTTACCTAAAATAGCCAAAAAGATGTATTAAGTGCCTGAGACTGGTGGCATATGCCTGAAATCTCCCATCATTCTGGGAGGCTGAGACAAAGGCAATGGGCCATTTGCAAAGATGTCTCAAAAATACATATAAACAATATATATTATAAAAATATATAATAAGTATAATAAATATTTAATATATATTTGAGGAATTCTCAGAACACACACACACACACACACACACACACACACACACACACATTGGAAACAGTTCAGTGCAAAGGCCCTGGGTTCAATTCAAGTGCTGGACAAAAAACAAACAGAATGTGCCAGCTGCACAAGAACTTGAAGCAGGTGCTTTGGGAAAGTCAATGAACTATGATTAACAGGGCCGAACTCTAGTTTTCAGAAATGTTATCATGTCACTCAGATAAAATTTTGTTTTGCTTTGTATTCTGAGACAGGGTCTCACTATGTAGCTGAGGCTGGCTTTGAATTCACCCTGTCTCTAGTTCATGTTGATCCTCCTGCCTCAGCCTCCAGCACACTACCCTCCCCGACTACATAAGATTTAGATAAAGAAAAGGAACAAGTGAAGAATGGGAGGTAGTGGTCTTGGTGTTGGATACTCATGACTGTTTACCCCCACAACAGATTTATTCCCAAAAACGGGCTTCAGAGGAAAATGAAGAAGAGTCCTCAAGGTAAATATGATTTTTAAAGGAAAACTTCAAAACCAGAACTAAAACCACAACTAAGACCAGGACCAAAATTAGAATCAGAACTAAAACTAGAACTAGGGCTAGAGGAGGACTTAGAACTCATCTATGCTTAAATACCCCAATGTCACGGTGCACAGCCCACCTGCAGCACAATAACCCTTCCTTCCCCTGATGCCTCCCCTCACTGCAAAGAGGCTGAGATGGGCGGGACAAGCAGGGAGGCATCTGCTGTCACCAGGCATCCAGTACCGAGGGTAGAGGTGGCAGGTTTGGGTACGCCTGCTCCTGTGGTGGAGAAGCCTTGTGGGGCTGCACAGGAAGCCCAGGTGCTAGGCTGAGGCTGGTGGAAGATGGAATCCTTCCATCCATCTGTGGAGGGGTAGAAGCTCATCCTCTCAGGCTTCCGCTTCCTTTGTGAGCCTCCTGAGTTCCTTTACACAAACCGCACAGCCTTCTCCTTGGGAGAGACCTACATAATGGTAGTTTGCCTCATTTTTTTGCAATGAAGAACTGGAGAGAAAGGACAGGAGACTGCCTTGCCCTGTGGTCACACTGCTAGTGAGTGTCAGAAAGTGGGTGGCGCCTTGCCAGCAGCTGGCACTGCTCCTCTGATTATGCTGCGCTTGGGCGGAGCCATGCTTTATGGGGAGTCGGTGTATGTAGACACCATTGACTGCAGTAGTCTCTGAAACAGTGCATTTTGATGTCTTTCTGTTCTGTTTGTATTGCACAAGGCACTCTCCTCTTTCATTCTTGATGGTACTGGAGATTGAATTCAGGGCCTTTTGCTCTGAGTTGCATCTTCAGTTTCTTTTTCTGTGATGATTTATGTATTCGAGACATGGTCTTGCCAGGTTGCTGAGGCTGGGCTTTAACTTGCCACCCTCCTGCCTCAGCCTCTCAGAATACTGGGATTACACGTGTATACCACCACATATGGCTCAAAAAAGACACACTGTTTTTAGTATTAATTATCCTTTAAAGGGATTTCACAATTCACTCATCAGAGACAGTCCTTGGTATGAAAATCTCTGAACTGTATATCTTTACAGGTTGAACTTGAGTTTTTGCTTGATGAGTAGGGTGAACCAGCTAGGAAAATAGAAACACCTGTTTATTCCACAGGGAGGGCTGCATGTGGGGCTGATGGGGGACTGATGTGAAAGACTCTGGAAAGAGTGAAATGTTTCCCCATAGTATAGTTATGCAGTTTGTTCACTGCAAGAGCATCACCGACTGATGGTGAAAGTGGGGTGATAATCTTGCCTGGTTTCAGGCTGTGCCAGGTGCAGAGGTCTCTCCCAGAGACCTTGTGAGGCCCTTGATAACAGATGGAGGTTCCAAAAGTACAGCATCGTGCAACTATTTTCAGGACGCCAGGTCTAGGTTGAAATTGCTTATTGCGGTTGTGAACTAAGGTATGTGTTTTGTCCTATGGAGACCTGAAGTGTGCAGTCTGACATGAGAACAATAATGCGAATCACTCACTGTCTTGCACGTGTTTTCCCACAGGGGCCTTTCCCAACGTTGGCATGGGAGATGCAAAATGGAACAGGAAAAGGAGGTAAATTTGAGAAGGACTCAGCGCTGTGGTGGTGGTGGAGGGGAGGCAGAGCTCCTAAGTCCCCTTCTGTTTTCCAGAAGGCCGTGAGTGGGGCTGTTTGCCTGCTGTGGCTTCAGGAAATATACAGACCTATCCGTGCCTCACACATGAAACAAGTGTCGGCCAAGCTGCATGGGAAGGATTCCTCTGATGAGGGTGAGATTTTCACAAAGCACGCAGGGTAAGTGGCTGGGGATGACTTAAAATTGCAATCTAAAATGAAGAATAAAGAAAGCCTCACTGCCTTGGCCTTGTTTTCCAGGGAGCTCCACGGAGTCACCACAGAGGCAGCGCCCACAGTGTCGGCCATCAAGGATGAGGAAAGTGGGCTCAAGAAGGCGCCCTTGGAGTGACCCTGACTTGCCTCCAGTGACTGGCAAATCTTTTTTTCACATTGTTTCGCATTGTTACATTAAAATCTATAATATTCATAAGCACTTCTAGCCATGCAGTAAGAAAATAAGTCCTGATAGTCAAATTGATGTGTGCATGTAACACACGGCATAGTGGGACTGCTGTTTGGATCCTTTGTTTGGTCCTGCTTCTGAGGGAGCCAGTGTGGCCTTCTTGTCCTTGGCAGCCAGGATAACCAGTTTCTGTAACCAAACGCACTTGTGGGTTTGGCATTTATAGACTCCTAACACTTAGCCCAATAATCCATGGAAGCATAGTTTTTGTCTTATTCGTCTTATCATTGCACAGGAAATGGAGCTCAAAGAATATAAGTAATCTGGCCAAGTACACAAAGCCACATATCTAAAGCCTCAAATTAGAGTTTTAATTAAGGACCCTAAGACTCTAAAGGATTTTAACCAAGACACTGCCCCACTATAGGGTATAGAAATATGGGGACATACAGACCTTGCTGCCTGCTGTCACATGGCTTAGTGTTCTGGAGATGGGCCATCAGAATTTGGGGGACATGTGAACCTCCAAGTCCCCAAGTGTACGAAGTGGCTGAAGTTGGAGATGGATCACATATGTTGGGCTAATGCAAGGCCAGACCTGTGAACATAGAGAGCCCAAAGTGAGCCACATAACAAGCTGTTCCAGCTCTGGAAGGCAAGGTGCCCAGGTGAGTCAGTCAAATAAGCTGCTATGCAGAGGGGTTGAAATTGACATCAATTCCCTGAGTGCCTAAATAAATGGGCTAAGGTGGTTGAGCAGTTCCTTTCCTCTGATCCGGAGAGAGGGCCCCCCCTGATCCCAGCTTTGCGTGTCTTGCCCTTATTTCTTCACCTTTTCACCGCCCTTCATGGTCCTCACCCCAGGAAGTTTGAGAGCTGCCTGAATCATGGCACCTAAGATTACTGATGTTCAGCACAGAACCCGGGAGTCTGAGGCATGTCCCTCTGCCTCAGCTACTGTGAGACACTTTGGCTTCCTGTGCTCATGGAATTGGGATGGCTACAACTTAATGACCCAGCACCTACAAAAAGAGGAGGCTCTGTTCTCCCTAGGTCCCATGCACTTTTATGCTTCATGATATGTGACATGCCTCTTAACACGCATCATGTCCCCTGTGTTAAGCAAAGACTCGGCTGTGAGTGTCTTCAGACTATAAGAGAGAACAAGGAGCCAACTCTGTGGGCACAAGAGGACATACATAACCCTGCAGAAAAGGCTGAGATTGAGATGGAAGGATGAGCTCAGCAGGGTGGTGGGTGTTCAGTGAGCAGGGTGGCATGGGAGTCGGGCACAGGCTGGGAAAGGATGGGATGAAAATGACTCCTGGGCCTCCTTCCTGGATATTTGGAGCCAGAAAACATACACCTGTTTTAACTGCTCTTTATACCACGTGACCACTTTGAGCCTCCCCTGGGCACACTGTGATGTGTAACTTCAAGTCAGCTCACAACATATGAAGCCTTGGGGTATACTTTTCCTCTTCTGGTCCTGTAGTTTTTTTTTTTTTTCTTTCCATGGTAAGCTAATATCAGATACAGTGATCGAGTCAGTGAAGGGCAGGTGTCAGGAGCAGTCTGTAGCAACTGTGCTTTGGGTACTTTAGATTTGAAGACTTTGGTCAAGTGGGAGCCCAGGGTCTGAATTCAGACCACAGTATTGGGCTGGGGAGGTCCAGGCAGGTCCGAAGAGTGCACATGAGGGCTGGGGAACAGCCAATTCTTGGCAGAAACCTGCACTGAGCTCGGCTCAGGGTCTTCAGCTCCTTTGTCTCTGGGCAAGAAAGGTGTCCCTATGTCTTCAACAGTGGAAACCCATGGGTACTTCCATTTGTACAACTGTCTGTTGAGTGTATGGTCTTGTTCCATGAACTGCCAGGCTACTTTTACTAAAAAGAGTGACTTCACATGGGCCTGCAAATGTCCTATGAGTGGCTGAGAGCAGGATTACAAACGTTGACATTTCTGCCTTTGAGCCATCTTCCCTGGCAGTCCCCTTGGATTCTCTGAGCCATCCATAAATGTCTTGCGAGGCGCGAAAAACCCATAGGCAACTTTCTTCCTGTCTGCCTTTGTTTCTAGCTTTGCTTGCTTGCTTTGGTCTCACTATGCAGTTCAATCTGTAGCTCAGGCTGACTTCAAACTCCTGGTGATCCTTCTGCTCAACCTCCCAAGTGCTGGGATTACAGGTGTGCACAGCCACACACTGCAACAGTATCTGCCTATCACTCCTTCTGAGAGGGCACCCTGAGCAGTCCTGAGGGGATGATCAGCCGGACCACCTCTGCCCAGGACTGCTTCTCAACTCACACTTCTCGTTCCCTTGTCTCTGTAATCTGGGTGCTCATGTCAGCCCTCAAAGACAGGCTGCAAACACTGGTCCACTTATCTACCCACTGTAGCTAGACACTGGAAACCGATTAAAGTATCTTTGCTGCCTTTCACCTTTACTTTCTTGTTGGATTTCTTTAGCATGAGTGGCCAGACCTGCTTCATTGGAATCCCAGACTCAGGCCACCGATCTATGTCTCTGGTAACAGCTCCCCTCCTTTTTGGAGGCTGTCCTGTCTGTAATTCTCTCTACAAGAGTGACAACCTCAATCCTTGGGTTTAGGCAGAGGATTCAGTGTGTTCAGTAAGCTTATGGTTCAGCAGGAAATGTATAAATAAGAACATACGTGAAACAGTTTTGCCCTAGGATAAATTACAGTTACAGCAGTGTCTAACGTAGTGGAGGCCCAGAGCAGCAATGCCTACCACTTCCTGCTTCTTCTTCAGCCCTAACTGCAACTCGTCTGTTTGTGCACACAGAGAATTCCAATCAGTTGCTCACATGTCATCAATATCCGCCCCATGCACTACTTCCATCTGAGATCACATATCTCTCTGTATCTGGTCGAAGGAGACAGCCCAGCTGCCATGAGTTGTGCGCTCCTTTTCACGTGCTCACCTTATCAAAACTGTTGATTTTTTACTTTTGCTTCTCTATTGCACCAGAATACTCAAACAATATGGACAACTTTTGATGATAGACTTAATTACACATGGTGGAAGTGAGGAATTCTGTAGGAAACTCTAGCTAGTTTGGGATAAGGATAACATTTCCAGTCAGCTGGAATGACCAGAAGATTGCATGTGGCTTGGCACAAGTGTTTCATGTCACCAACTCCAGGACTTAGTATCCTTTGATTATTCCACTGAATTGTTGATTGCAGGGAATTCTGGGGCTGTGGAGGACCCTGAAAAACCATCTCTTGTCTGTTTTTCAGGAGTCTCTGCCTCTAAGTGTGTTACTTTCTAGGCTCCTGAGCTCTCAAATCTGTGGGCTTCTCTGTCTTACGTTGCTCTCCACAATTGTAAGGCTGCCTAAAGGCGTGGGTCCTAGGGTGGGCTGGTGTAGCATAGGAGGGCATGAACAACTGCTTGGGCATGCAGCACATTTCCACAAACACTTTCTCAGCGGGTAAACTACCAATGGGAAACAAACGTGACTTGGACAATGATAAAAGCCCCTCAAAGTGCTATGGAGCCAGGAGAAGAACTTGAGAGGTTTCAGGTTCACAGCATCTGTGAACATGTGCAGCACTGTTGAGTTTGGGGTTGTTAAAGGTTGGCTCAGTCCAGCTTCCCTCTCTGATCCTCCAGCCCTCATACCCTCCTCTCCTGCTACAGCCCATTTTCTGGGAATTAAGCACCTCCCTCTGGTTTTACTTTGGGATGAGCCTTCTTCACACCCTGAGATGCCCCTGGGCTTGAGTTCCTGGTCTCATTCTTCCACACGGAGTGCACATGATCACTGCTGGCCAGTCAGAGCTAATCAGAGCCTGTGACAGAGGCTTTGCTCAAACCCATTTTCTTCACTGCTGTGTCTGGTGAGAATTACTGCCTATCTTGCAGCCTCGGGACCTGGTCCTGCTACCGTGGCATCCAGCATGGAGCACAATGCAGGAGAGGGGCAGACAGGGCCAAGTAGATGGATGTGGCCAGTCCTGAGCCTGTAGGACTATTTACTGTTGAAGTGTGATTTTTAGATGGGAGACAGTCCTAACAAATCAAAGTTTGAACTTGTACAAGTCATCTGTATTTCAGCCTGTTTCCTCATCTATTACTTGGAAGATTTAAATGAGATAACACACACACATTGAATGTAAATTTGCTATTAGTGATATGGTAATTATACAGTGGTATCTCAGCTCATTAGCTTGAGTCCTCGTATGAGTCTGGTTGCAAATCAAGTTGGACGAAAAAAATCTGGTGTTTGGGGTCAATGTTGACTTACAGGAGATTTGATTTGGTTCTCATCTAATTCTGTTTCTATAATGGCTGATACATTGTGCCACCTTAGAAGTTTAAAAGCTTAACTACTTAATTCAGCAGTTCTACATTCTGGGGTGTAGAGGACATGCCCTAGGGTGGCTGTTCCCTATCCATGTATTGTAATAGTTGTTTCATTGTATCAGCTTAAGAAGTTTAAAAGTTTAAGTGGCTCTGCAGCAACCAAGGTCTTCACTTTGAAAGCATCTTGAGGCTGTGCAAGAGGAGGCCATGGATATAGTGAGTGCTACAGCTGCCCCATGGTGGGTAGCCTGCTCACAACACAAGGGAGAAAAAGAGGCTTGTTCCCATTTATGTTGTTTCTTGTTGTCTTCTGCCAACTTCTGCCCCTTTGCCACGTCACCCTGATTGGGAGCCAGCTGATTCTGGACTAAAACCTCTACAAACTGTGAGCTAAATGAACCTTTCTGCACTTAATTTTGGGGCATCAGGTATTTTGTTTCAGCAATGAGACAAAAGTCACTAAGTGCGACCGGAATTGTGGAGAGAATTGAGTTCATGAACTAAGGTATGGCTGTAAAAGTATTGGTGAAGGATACAGGATTGTTTTGCTCTGCAAATAGTTTTTGGTACATATATGCACACAGAGTCTCCCAGACTTGATGGGCTTTCTAGGATATGCAGGGACAGGAGATCACTGGTCCAGAGTCACCTTCCTCAGCAGGGCAATCTGTATTCTCTGCTCCCCTTCTGGGCTGTTTGGCTCTTTCCCTCAGACCACAGTTTGGTGTTGCGGTTTCCTCAGCCCATTCCCACCTTAACTTGCCTGGGTACAGGTTACTTCCGAGCTGGACCTCCGTCCTCTGCTTCCCTAATCCTCAGAATTGCTCAGGAGACAGGGTGTCTGGAGACAGGCTACAAAAGCTGGGAGCACCTTTCCCAATAAGGAACTATGCCTACCAATTACTCATGTGGAATAAAACCACAACCACCCACACATGTTTCTAAGAGGGAAAACAAGTACATGACAGCTGTTCAATTTTTTACTCTTAATATTTTCCTGCTACTTATTCATATTTTTGCTGAATACTAACTGAATTGCTGCTTCTGAACAGTTCTGAATTGTGAACTCCTAAAAGCAGGAAGAGATTGGCAGGAGCCAGAGATTTTAAGTTGTGAAAAAAATTAAGCATGCAATCATAGTATCTATTATCTTCTTTTAGCAAATTATAAGGTAACTTCCTGGAAACTACTGCCCCTTAACACGGCATGCCTGATTGCCACTTTTCATTTTGATCCTGCGGACTGATTGCAGAGTCAGTCTGCCACTGAGCTACATTCTTAGCCATCTCTATTTTTTTTTTATATCAGATGGGGGTCTTCTTAAGTTGCCCATGATAGTCATGAAGTTGTTTGTTTTGTTTGTTTGTTTTGGCCATGAACTTTTGAGTAGCTTATATTACAGACATGTGCCATGGCACCAAGCTTCAGATTTATTTTTTAAAAATTATTTTCATTGGTACACTATTGACATATATAAGATTACATTCATGATTTGTCCCTGTATGTTTTATATCATTTCTTTTTCTCATTCCTTCTTTCCTTCTCTTTATAAAACTTTGTTCCTA